AGTCCAAATTCAATACGAACGTTTGTTTCTTGAAAATTTGATTACGATTTAAATACAGTATTTACTTTTAATATTACCGATATGTCATCGAAAAGAAAACGCGTTGTATTATCATTAAAAGACAAATTAAAGTATTTGATTCGATTATCCGGATTTTTCCTTATCCGGACTACCTTCATCCCCAATTAGTCCGGATAATCGAGGTTCTACTGTATATCTAGTAGATCAGATATAGTATCTACTATCAGATATATCTGATCTACTATTAGATATCAATATATATATATATACAGGATGTTTCAGAATTATTTGGACAAATTCAGAGAGACAAACACACGAAAAGAAATCAAAAGTGCCTAGAAATGAACTGTTTACAAGAAAATGACACTTGAGAATACATGTGGATATTAATAACTTTTAGATAATATACGTACTTTATTAGCATTATTGACAGTTATCATCAGATGGATTCTACAATAAATGGAACATATATACACTTGCCAGATCAGAAATATGCACTTTTTATGGTTTGGTTGTTGTCTGCTAAGAAGAAGCCTGTTGATAGCCTTACAACTTCCTGTGCCTTTCCAATTTCTAGTTGTGCGTTCTTACATGAAAACCATATATGCATGTTCTTGATATAGATAACTTACATTTATTATACACTAACTTGATACTTATTCTTAAATATAAAGATTCATAAACCCGATTATTAGGTAAAGCCAAATGAACTTATCTCCAAAGTCTACCAGCAATCCTGCAGGGTACTGGTGGACTATAAAAGGTGACAGGAGTGTTGCTGATGTGATTTTCATTTATGGCAATCAAATCATACAGCAAAATGACTGGGCTGCATAAGAAAAATACTGTTTGCCAAGTAAACAAGTATATAAAAGCGTCATTTTGTTCAAATCCACAGTTTGTGACAAAGATGGAAAATTTTTGATAAAGTAATTGGCAATCGTGTTACTAAGTTGCCTGATGTTAATCTGTAAATCATTGCCAAACTACTAATCATTAAGTTTACAGTTTGTGTTTAAGTTGATTTACCTTGTTGTTGAATATATAAATTGAGTATAAATGATTTTTATTTGTGTAAGAAACATAAAATATAAAATCAAAAGTAATTGCCTATATGTGAATGATAATCAAATTATTAAAACATGACCCTTCAGTTTTATAATCTGATCTTAATATACTATCCTCAGTATTCTCCAAAGCTAATTTAAAAATTAACATTCAAAAAATTGTAGTAATGTGCTATTCACTTATTTGTAATCCATATCTTCCTTCATTTAATATAAAAACACATGTATTATGTTAACATGTACAGTTATCTGGAAATAATATTTGATAGTAAATTGACATTTAAGCATCATGATGAAAAGATAGCTAAATCCCTCTCAATTTGTTATGGGATATTATGGTGATTTTGTAAAATGATATCTTCCAAAATTGTCCTAAGAAGTATAATCTTTGAAAATTTTCAGTCTATCAGTGGCGTGCCTGGTATGTATTAACGTCGGAATTAGATTACGAAAAGGATTGAAACGGATTCTCATGAAACAGCTAAATCAACACGTCTTTATTGAAGTACATAACGGTGCAGAACTCTGCAGTGCGCAGGCGCGCTACTACATATATACATTTGAACTGCCATAGATGGCGCTGCGATACATAGCATCATCCCCTCCTAAGGAGAAGTTACAAACATAGTCTTGTAAGTATCTAGGAGTTTTACGATGTCTACGACTTGACTCTTGAGTACTAGAGGAGTCTGAAGTTAAGACAGTATCTGATGATGAATTTTTCATGTTGTCTTTCTGGGGAATATTTTCAACTATAGGATTATTTTCTTCTTCCCACCACAGCTGAAGAGGAACGAATGAAGCACCTTGAGATTCGAGGGATGAGGATGATCGAGATCTCAGTTGATCAATATGACGTTTCCATATGGAACCATTAGGGAGCTCAATGTTATAGGTAACAGGTGAAAGTTTCTGAATAACTTTACCAGCAACCCAATATTCTTTAGAACAAAAGTCACGAGCAAAAATTGTGTCTCCTATCATGAAAGAACGCTGTGGACGAACTACGTTGTTATCCGATAAGGTTAAAGGGCGCAACAAATCTAGTCTTGAACGAAGTTTTCTGTTGAATAGCATTTCACTAGGTGTTTTACCAGTAGAACAATGAGGAGTAGTACGATATGAAGTAAGGAATTGGAGGAGGGATGTCATTAAATCCTTTTCACGACTTAATTTTTTTAAGGACGACTTAAACGTTTTGATAAATCCTTCAACTGCTCCATTAGTTGCAGGATGGTATGGCGGAGAGAATGTCTGACGAATTCCGTTTTGTGCTAAAAACATTCTGAAT